TGCCTTATGAGTCTAACTAATCTCTCTACCTCTGTTATCATTTGAGGTTATGCTGTCGCCTATGATAGTTTTTGTACTTGTATGGCTAAGTAGGTCTTCCAATGATAAGGGTGTGACCCTCAAAATTAATCAATCGAACTGTAGCTCTAAATTCACTTGTCATGATCTAGATTTTACAAGGATTTATATAGTTTTATATTATTTATGCTAGAAATAATTACTATTGCAGTATATAGGAATATTCAAAAAATGTTTGAATTTTTCTGAAGTCCAATAATATTCCTGATTGTAATTAATGTAAAATTTTTGGTGTTAAATTTCCTGTCATCGTAATTGCCTCATAGTGTAAATGCCAGTGCTGAAATTAATGGCAGCTAAGATCAAGCACATCTTGATACCATCTTCATTCTCCATTAATTGTGTCAAATGATCAATATTCTTTTACAGCTTAATCAGTTGGATACTTTCAAACCTCTAAGTACAACCAGCTCTATTATTACCAAGTCTTGTAATATAATTAGTAGATTAGGCAGGAAGATTAATCACACTACATAAGACAAGGTATTATTTGATGCTGGTGATATGGTACAATATTCCAGAAACAAGTTTTACCATTCATATATCCTTACAAGCAATCTTCCAAATTTAATGCCATAAAACATGTATTTCATTTGTATCATTTTTTACCTTAAATCTTAAATTTTGAATTTGATAAAGAAACATAACGTTAATTGATGAGTGTAATTTTTTGAGTCATTATTCGATCGTAATTCAAGAATAGAAACTGAACAAGCAGTGCTTAGAATCCTACATTAGTTTTAATTTTAACCAAATCATTTGCACTTGTTTGATCAACACTTTTGATCCATTCCAACAGCATTTATCCGATTTTCCAGACATTTAAAATATAAGAAAACCATAAGATGAATCTAAAATTGAGTAAACCAATTTTTATCGCATCATAATGTTAAATTCAAATTTAGAATTTTGAATTAAATAAATGTATATGATTATACAATCAAGAGATAAAACAAAACAGCAAGTTGCAAAGTTAATACTGCAAATCCTTGGACAGTTAAGTATAAAATAGATATTTTTGTTATAAAGATTAATCATGAAAACTTAAAATATCAGCATTTTTTATTTGTGATAATATTAAGGATATTTTGGTAGAGAACGTCTCGAACCACATAAAATGATTGAATTCTGGGTATAAAGGGAATTTATAAAAATCTGGAATTCTTTATTTGAATTAATTCGTTGCTTTTAAAGATAATCACTCTTTAATCAACAGGAATTGGATGATTTTAAATGAAAGAATGCGAATAACTTAAGAGAGCTGAAATTCAAATATGGCTGAATTATTAACAATTGAAAAATATGCTAGAATATGTGATGATATTTTCTTAATAAACACCTCCAGACAAAGTCTTGTTGTTGGTGGTGGAAACATTGCTTTAAAATGTGTAAGAATATTAAAAGGATTAGGCTCTGAATTATCATTAATGATAAGAGTAAAATACCTAAGAGAGTTTGATCAGGATGTTGTGAAAATGATACTAGAGCATAATCAAAAAGTTTAGTAAAAGTCTACCTTTAATACATAACAAGATGAGGTGCCTTCGAAACTGCTTTTATGGTAATATGAAAATAAGCCAATACTATGTTTGGTTTATTCATAAAACATAAATAAACTTGCCTAAGAGAATCCTGTAAAGTGGCCTGAAAAAAAGGAAAGGGAATATGAGAGGAAGGAAGAAGCCTTTTAGAGAAACGACATATAAGGTTGAACTCAATCAGTATGAACCAAAATATCCTTTATTGAAGGTTCTTTTCATAATTAACCATATAAATTAAGAAATAAAGAGGAATGTCTTCTGAATGTTATCTTTGCTAACGAGTTAATGGATTCTGCTAGATTTTAATCGTCTTATAGGTACAATCAGAATTTAACAATGATGTAATTCATAATGAATAATTTCAACTGGTTTATTCATGGTCCGAAGTCGTTCTGGGTTGTAAACCCATGATAATTAGTCGAGAATTAAAGGATAATAAAGAATTTACCATTTCCTTTTGTCTGATATTATATCGGTTCATCCTATACAGAGGATAAAACTGTTGGAATTTTAATTGAATGATCCAGAAAGAATTCATATTGTACAAAGTTTGGTCCCATTACATAAAGATTAAAGTGAGATGATCTTCTTAAAAGAGAAGTCGACTTGCGAGACTCCCTGAAATAATTATGGATCTTCTATAAACAATTATTCTGATAGACGATAATGTTCTAAATGTAAGCCCCTTAAAAGCCCAAGAATAAGAGGGACAGTATATTTAATGATTTAAAGAAGTAACTGATTAATAACTAAAACTTGTCTAATTTGATTAAGATTAAGTGAGAATCATTGGAGGGAAGAGATAGAATATGAGGAGAGTACAGATATACCAATACATTAGAG